TACACTGAAATACATCATAAGACAATCCTACTCTTCGTATTGAGGTTACAGAAGAGATTTTTGCTTGAGGACAATTTCTTCATATTTCCTATAATATTTTTAGTTAGCATTTGGCTGACAAGAGTGAAAAGCACAAAATGGTTGTTTCCCACCCCAAAATAACCTTGCATTATTATATTTTCTTAAATCATTAAGACAACAGCTGTTCTAATAAGTTAAAGTCTTGCATTTTGCTTGGTATATCCATAGGGTTCATCATCAAGATGAAACCTTTAAAAACATCTGGAAGCAAATCAGTTCCCAGGGAAATGGGGTTTGGAGCATTCACCACTGATGTCACATGAGGTAAGAACATGCTCAAGTTAAAATCCCAACTTTTCACTGAAGCTTTCACCTCGGAGTCTGAGACAAGCAAGGTTTTGTGTGTTCCCATGAATTCAATTGTGCAGACCTCAAGGAAAACAGTTTCAACACTAAGTTAGCCCACGCAGTAAAAACTTTTGTAGTGTAAATAGGAGTATATCTTCAGGCAGACTTAGGCCTTAACGCGTTTTCATGTCCAAACAGTTTTAGCCCCACTCCAGCCCGTTTCATCACAACTCAAGCTTCCCACAGTACCTGCATTTAAATTCTTTGAACAGAGGGGAAAATTGCACACCACCACCTTCCTACAGAAGGGATAGGGAGACTAAGAGCAGCTCTTCTGTTTGATTATCAGAGCACTGTAGCACAGAAACGAACATCTACCCACAGGATTCTTAACCTGCACAGGCACTTTACATTTCATTCCCGCTTGGCTGACACACCTTGCATGTACACATGGATCTACACAACAGTACAGCAAATGCACAAACACTTCATGCCTATATAAAGATTTGCTATGTGCAGAAGACAGAATTCTGATTGTGTAAGTGAGCTTTACTAACGTAACGGGGCGCAGTGAGCGAAAGTAGCAGTATATTCCCCAATGTAATGAAATATTGCGATTGCCAGGCTCAGATGAACAATAAGTTGGACGCTTCCAGGTCAACAAGACCCTGAGGCATCTTATGCCTAGCAAAGGCAAACAGTTACCACTGACTGCACTGCTTTACAAAGGCAAAGAGTCAAATAGCAAAGAAAAGACTTTTGGATATTGCCTTGCCAGGTTAGAGGGCTATTTGGCTGAACCACTGTGTCTATGTTGAGGTCCAAGTACAAGCACCCAATTGTCTGAAATTTAAGGTCTTAGTTCTAGGAAAGTCTCAGTTCTCTGCTCTGGAAACAAAATCAGTTTCAGCTCCTATTTTAAGCACTGGTGCCACAGTATCGTATTTGCACTGAGGACAACCACTGATGCTGAAAGATCCTGAAATGACGTCACCCGACCACAAGTGACAGTCCTGTCTCCAGCAGAACTATAGCTGCTCTTTTCTTCCTATCACAAGGAGATTCTGAGAAAAGCACGTTTTCTGGAGAGCAATAAAATACATAAAGCAATCAATATTCATACGCATAAAACTTCAACATCCCATAACACCGACAAGGTACCTAATTTAAAAATTAATTTTAAGTCTTCATTGTTTCCTTTGTTACTTGAAAAAAAATATTTTAACAGTTGAAGATTCCTTGACATTGGTGTTAGCCTGCACGCTAGGATGCAGTTTTGATGAATACGCATTATTCAGCTGACTGTACCATGTTCTGCTAGAATATCCTCTAAGTGAAGAAATTCATGCAAATGATACATGAAAGAGTGCTCTTCAAAGCCACACCACATCTTTACTTAATGCCCAAAAGCTGGACGCTGTTGACCAACTAGTAGCCTAGGAGGATTTATCAATTGGCATGTTATCATAAGCTATGACAACATAACAACAAGCAGATCAGGCAAGTGAGTTTGTATAACTATGGAGAAGATGCTGCAGCTGCTAATTAGGCAAAAATAGACCAAGCAGAATGCCCCACAACTAATTACATCAACCTTGACTCAATTTTAATTAGGAAAAGCTCTGCTCAAGCCACTAGCAGAAGCCCTGCACTTGAGGCCCAAATACAACCAAATCCAAGTACAGACATGAGGTCAGGAAAAGCTATAGCTCTAGTTACTGCTCACTTTGCAGTGAAAAGCTTTGAGATTGAATACAGGGCCAAGGCAAGACTTGCTTTCATGTGCAAGTACTCTTACGAGCAATAACATTGCATAATCCTAGCTCATACCGTGCTTTGCACTCCATTTCTACCATCTCTATGCATCTAGATCCATTTTCATTAAGACATGATAGTCCGCGATTAGCTATTATTAACAGTTTATACTACTAGAAGGGGTTCTCAGATGTTTTGAAGTACCTCAGTGGTGACCTAAGGTACCAACAGACCCTTAGAGTTCACAGACAAGTTCAATAAATCTCACTACAAGTTTAAGAATTATCCTTAATGCAGTTTTGATGTCAAACTTGCAACATTCAATCACTTCCAATTACAGCAAGTTCCAACAGTCTACTTTTGTAACAAAGTGGTGATGCATAATGCAATTATAAACAGTGAAGTTCAACTACCATGAAAAAAGTGTATTTAGAAGCCACACGGATCATCTAATAATATTTATCTCTTCAACAAGTGGAATATTTTATTGGTTTTGATCAGTGTTTCAGTTCTCAACTCAATTCCAGCAGTACCCATTTCAGATATGTTATTTGAGTAACATGAGCTCTGAAGCACTATAGTTAAAAACAACTCACCTCAAACTTCCAATATGCTAACATCTCAAATTTTAAATTCAAGAAACTAAATTATCAAACTAAATTAACTACAATTATCAAACTAAAAGTCACTTACACACCATTGCTGAAGTTCCAGCTTATTTAAAGTTTCATTTAGTTGAAGTTATGTTAGTGTTCAGCTTAAGCTGCACACAAGATGATTAAGAGAAGTCTGTCTCTCATTAGGCACATGAACTTTTGGATAATCCTTTGTTTACATATCACTGAGACTAGGAGCAACTTTAAAGCTATTGTCTGTCACATTCAAGTGACTAAAAATCTTGTACTGCAGAGGCAACTTACAGTAGCAGCACATACTTTCATAGGCAGGATTCAGGCACTTTTGTAAATCTTTCTGAAAAGATCCTGGTGCTCTGTATCTGTAATAGCTTCACTGACACATCATGTCATCACAGCTGCCTATGAGGGGTACTGCATCTTAAATTCCTTACTCAAATCAAAATAATATTTATTGCTAAGTGAGTGTGCTTTGCTACCAAAGACAATAATTCAAAACCTTAACGCATTAAACAGTTTAGATAATTTTACCAGTGTTACAAGTTTGACAATCTCATGAGCCTCTCTAATTGGAATGGAAAAACGACAAGGTCTAAGCAAAAGCCTACACGTAGAGATGTTTACCAAAGCATGAAGAGACCATAGATTACAACTCTATTTAGTGCCACCAGAACATACTGTGTTGACCAAGCCAGAAGCTATAACGTGTTTCTTAAGTGTTCTTGTAACAACTTTAAATAGAAGCCCATGCTAATCCCCAACCCTGCCCCAAAAAGCAGCTACTATTGAGGCAGCCCTGAACATTAAGTATGCTTCAAAAAGAACTCCACAAGTAGCCCTTCATAGGTGAAAGTATTTAGTAATTAGTAATACAGTATTTAGTAATTGCCTCTATTTGGAAGAAAGCTATAATCTGTGTTCTACATTCATTAAAATTAAGGCTACCTTGAAGTGATAGCTTGTAGGGGCCATGCACTGACTATCCAATGTGAACAGCAGAGTTTAAGAGTGGCATAGTTACTATTGCCCAGACCTGCAGGACCTAGCATACCTTAGACCGCTATCCAAGCATTTCCTGTTATTGAATTTGCATTTAATACTTGCTTCACCAACCTACAGGATATACACTTTAATACTGATTAAGAAAATTAAATCTTAAAACACTTAAGTAAACTCATACCTCAAGAGCCAAAATCCCAGCAATTACATATCCTGTGTCATTCAATTTAATTTATACATCTGCTTGAACACTACGCATTCAGATATTAAGCATTAGCTGGTACTAGCATTTGACCTTCAACAGCACACTAAAGCTGGTTGCTGTAATATAGGAAAAGGCTTGCAAAGCGATTATCTCAGGAAAGCCTTTGTTTAATCTAATTAGTTGAATGAAGACTGGACAGATCTACATACCAAGAGGCTGCAGTGATAAAAATTGTCCCTGTATGTTTCAGTTGTCATGCCATTTTAATCTGTTTCAAAAAACAGCTTTTAAGATTCTGAAAAATGTAACATGCCTTTGCATACTTTAGTTTGAAACCCACAGCACTGGGTACGTGCCATAGCTTCAAGCCATCACATGATACTTTTCCTTAAGGGAAAGGGGAAGGGGGAGAGGGAAGCTGTCTGTAATATTATTATAATGGAAAGTAATTGTAAGTGACAAAGTGACCTGGAAATCACCCTGAAAAAGTCTGAGGTCTTCTGCTCTGAAGAGTCAGTTTACTTCCTTTAAGAGAAAGACCCTCACACCTACTTGAAAGGCGACAGAAACTCACCAGCTGTTTCATAAGAAATACTAATGAAAGCTAATAAAGTAAAAAGTTCATACAGAACAGTATGCATTTACATCTCAATATCCTGTATGTTAAAATGCACCTAACTGAACAACTAAGAGTTAAATTATTTAAGTGGCATGCTGTTGTTTCAGTGCAAGCATCTCAGAGAGGCTGGCTTATGAAGAGACAAGTACAAGCAGACTGAACAAATAAGAGGAAGAGGGCACAATCATGGAAGACACTCCGCAACAGAAAGTTTTTAAGACATCATCTTCAGTCTTGTTGTGATGACAAGTCTCCTTTATTACAACTCCTATATCATAAATGGTAAACTCAGAAGTCAGAAGTTTTGCTGAGTTGTCAAAGACAAATCTGACTTCATTCTGAAGCTCAGTCTCTTGGGAGGCAGAGGTACTTGCATAACGGAAATAAAAAC